TATATATATATATATATATATATATATATATATATATATATATATATATATATATATATATATATATATATATATGTATATATATATATATATATATATATATATATGTATATATATATATACATATATATATATATATAATATATATATATATATATATATATATATATATATATATATATATATATATATATATATAGGTACGCGGAAATCGCGATTTACGCTGAAATCACGCGGAAATCGCGGCTTAGCTTACCAACTGCTCAACTAAATGGAAGAATAAAGATCTCAAAACAAATTACAATCGTCTTAATCGTTCTGTTAAAGCGGAAATATTCAAAGCAAAAATATTACATGAAAAAGAAATTATATCAAAGTCTCAGAACAACCCAAAACTCATTTACAAATACATTAATAACCAACTAAAAATTAAAGATAAAGTTCGTTCTCTCAAAAATACTTCAGGTGAAATTACTCAAACTCTTCCCGATATACTTGAACTTCTGAACTCTCAATTCAAATCTATGTTTACTCTTGAAAGCCCCGAAAATTTTCCGTTGTTAAATAAAAGTGAAGTTACACCTAAATGCAATTATTATAACAACTTGGATTTTTCCATTGCAGACATTATTAATGAACTTACCAATCTAAACACTTACAAATCTTTTGGACCTGACGGGTTGCACCCTTTAATACTTTAGATATGTGCCAATAGCTTCGCAATTCCGCTTACAAAAATCTTCTATGAATCTTTTAATTCTGGAATAGTACCATCTCTCTGGAAATTAGCAAATATTAGTCCAATCTATAAAAAAGGGAGACAAACTACTTCCTGAAAACTATCGTCCTATTTCACTTACCTCTGTTGCGTGCAAAATGTTTGAAAAAGTTGTAAAGAATAAGATCTTGAAGCACATCAATGATAACAATCTGCTCTCTACAAATCAACATGGCTTTCTTCATCATAAGTCTTTTGTAACCAATCTAATAGAGACTTTTGATATTATTTCGTCTTCCCTAGCATCGCACCAGTTTATAGATGTAATCTACCTCGACTTCGCTAAAGCTTTTGATTCCGTACCTCACACTAGACTCATGTTAAAATTAAAATCATTCGGAATAAATGGCAAAATACTACAATGGATTAATTCCTTCTTAGTAGGCAGAAAGCAACGCGTTACAATTAACAATACTTGCTCTGACTGGGTTGATGTTCTTAGTGGTGTTCCTCAAGGTTCTGTTCTCGGCCCGCTCCTCTTTATTCTTTTTACAAACGATCTTGCCCAACATACAGAAACTTCTGAAGTATTTGCAGACGATACAGAACTTTTTTCTAAAACTTCATCGCAGACTAATTTCGTTGATCTGCAGGACCGTCTACGCTTAGTATAGTTTGACCACTCGTATAGTGGTCAAACACTTGGTTACTTAAATTAAACATTTCAAAATGCTGTGTTACCCATTATGGTAAAACAAATCCAATGTATAGCTACTTTTTAAAAAATAACCAAGGTATAAATGAAAGCCTAAGAAGCTCTGTTAAAGAGCGCAACTTAGGAGTCATTTTTACATCTAACCTCAAGTGGAGTACACATATTCAATCAGTTTTCTCCAAATCTTTACAAATTCTTGGTATGCTAAAAAGGGCATTCACCATTGTTGATGAAAAAATGGCTCTCAAATTATATAAAGTGTTTATAAGACCACACCTGGAATATGCAGTGTCTGTTTAGGCCTTGTATTTAAAAACTGACGTAGCTTTGGTTGAATCTGTTCAACGTAAAGCAACAAAATGGGCTTTAAACTTGAGAAATCTTCAATACTATAAAAGACTTAAAAAACTAAACTTACCATCACTCGAGTTTCGGCGCCTATGATGCGATCTAATACAAATTTTTAAACTAATACATCAATTTGATATAATTAATAATATATATCAACCAAAATTTATTAACTCATTGTCACGTGGTCACCATCTTAAAATAAGACGTGAATATGTTCCAAACTGTCTTCCAAGACACAACCAATTATATAATAATCAGCAAAATACTGGAATAAACTACCCGAGCAAGTAACTTTATATTCCACTGTACTTTCTTTTAAAATTAGATTAGATAACTGGTTGAGGATAAAATTCGGAACGAATATTTATAAAACTGGTTGTTTATAGTAGGGTATTTTCCCTGCTCGCTGTATGTATATATGGTATGTATATTTTACGACTACAACTATAATAATAATAATTTTTTTCATTGAGAATGTCATTAGAAAAATGTTTCCCATAACATAATAAACGAATCGAGAGATACTTATTAATTATCTTTTTCAAAAGTTGAGAGGAGTGCATATCTTCAGTTAAAAATTTACGATCTAAATCATGCTCATTCAGTTCAGGAAACAATTTTTCACATGCAATCTCTTCATTAATTTTATATACCATTAAGGACTTTAAGTTTTTTCGAGAAGAAATGGTTAACATTTTTGAATTTATGCCTATAACAAAAGCTGTAAATATTTTCTTACTCTTTTTAATAATTTTAACAACACTAATAGACGATATATTTAATCCACCGTGATTCTTTAAATTTATTAAGAATAATCAAGATGATTAGTAAAATATTGAGTAGGTATAATCACAAATTACATTATCTGGTTGATAACATTACATTATCTGGATGCTTCAGCACATATGCAACAAGTTATTTTGTTTTTTAAGAGTTCTGACAATATAACCAGCTATATGACCAAGTATTGTTTGTTTGTATATTGATGTTAAAATGGTTTCAAGACCATTTAATAAATTTTCAACCACATTTTTATCTTCCTCTTTAATTTCTGTACCTATGATCGGTGATCTCGTTTTGCTCCACTTCAATGAAAATATTAATCCAGCTGAACTTTTTTCAAAAGTGAGACAATTTGCATGTTGTGAACCTATCAAAAAATTTCGTAAAAGAGTTTTCTTTAAGTTTAACTTTAAATGGATAACATTATTATTAAAACCATTTTTGCCTCGACTATAAGCAAAAAACAGTTCTACGTGATCTTGAGACATTTTGTTGGTCAACACATATTTAAGCGAACTTTCCAATCTTGATAGCAAATAAAATGACAGGTCTCTGATACTTATTGCAGGGGTAATAAAACCAATAACAAATGTTTTTCTTCTATGTTTCAGAATTTTAGTCCCATATTTGACTGTTAAGTAAGCAAGATATTGAATTGCTTTTTCAATAATATCAAACCAATAAATTTTATCACTTTAACTTGCATTTTATCATTTTAACTTGCTAATTATCATTTTAACTTGCATTTATCATTTTAACTTGCATTTATCATTTTAACTAGCATTTCGTACAAGTTTTAACATATGGCAAGGATCAGGAATAAAGTATATATTGTTATCATAAGATTCGAAATTGAATTAAGTTTTAATAATTTTTCAACTTGATCAAATGAACAACTAAGACTTTTCATTGCACTAAAATTGTCAAAAGCTCCATCACAAGTTATGCTGTGGACATCTATACCATGTTGAATACACAAATTAACTGCTTTAGTTAAAAGACAACTTAAGTTTATTGTGAAATCTTTTCACTCAGAACATAACCAATTGAACATTTCCAATGACCTCGAAGTCCAACAAGCATAAATACAAGAGCCTCACTAGCAATGCTATCTGGATCAAAAGCTGATATATTGTTTCCATAATCTGAAAAACCTTCATAGTTACCATTACTTGGATTATAGACAAGACCTGATTTTATATGCATAGCATCAATGATCAATGCAAAATCTTTATAGGTAACATCCTCTGATCCTTTTTGTTTTAAGAAAGGAAAAACATCCCTAAAAAAACCAAGTGAACAATCAATACACGATGACCAATTTGCTAGAGAACTAATACAAGGCAAAGCAAACAGTAATCTAACAAAAGTATATGTACGAGATGAAGCGTTAAAGCAAATTTCTTCACTTCTTCTGAATATCTGTAAACTCGAGGATCTTTGCATTTATTCACTAGTTCAAATTAAGTCACAAACAAGTCCAGAAAAGTTATTATCAACAAGTTGAGCTGCATCAGCTGATAAAAGCTTGTCATTCTCAAGTTTTTTAATAATTTTTGTCATTGTATTTATTTTTAATTCTTTCGTTCATAGCTTCTGTTTAAGAGTTTTAACTTTTCAATTAAGTTTGACTTCGGATAGAGAGTCGACCTTATTATTTAGATTATTAATAGAATTTACACTAGTAAAAATATGATTGTTAGCTGAAGATTGCAAAGAAAGAGACCTTTTTTTATTGACAGTCTCGAATGTCTCAGTTACGTTAATAGAAATGTTTTTTTTTGGTCCTTTTACAATTTATTTTCTCCGGAAAATTAATGATAGATGGTACAACATCAGACTTTAAACTGGGTTTTTTTGCATTTTCATAATTATAATCTTCTTTATGAAAGTGAACACTACATATATAAATATATCTTATTGGAATAAATGAAGCTCGATTTTGTTGCCACGACCCATTTTTGACAAAGATCGTTATTTTTTAAAGGGAATTTATAAAAGAATATTCCAATACCTACAAAAAATTATATCTCCTTTGCGTTATTTGCCAGTATACACTATTGATCTAACACATTATGTTGTCAAAGTATTTAACAAATCGGTTTGTATAACCATAAGCAGAACAGGATATAAACATTTCTTGAGTAACAAAAGTGAAATAAAAAAATTATATCTCCTTTGCGTTTTTTGCCAGTATTCAATATGGCCAAATTTGCCTCACAACCGCGGCTCGAGTTAGATATCTACGTAATATATATCATTGGTTCAACCAACAGTTTTTGAAAAACAGTTTGTTTTAAATGAAAAATGTCGAACTACTATAAAAATTTGGACTGGCCTTAAACTACCTGATTTGTTAAATGATTAACTAAACTATGTTAAGCCTAAATTATTTACAATTATTGTATTTTTTTTACAAAGTCAAAAATAAAGTAACACCCCGAAACAATTATTCCAATTAATAAATATTTCTTTACAAACCGTTTCATATCAACTATGTAAAAATACATGTATTAAAATATTATGTATAAAAAATCATGTAGAAGTAAAAACATTTAAACGAAATGCTTAACTAAAATAATGAATATATATATATATATACAAACTAAAATAAGGGGTATATACTCTTATTTTTTTATGCCGGATAAATAATTCAACAAAGTATAATACAAGTGTAACAGAAAAATTAACTAAAAAGCATGGCTATAAACATCATTAGAAAAAAAATTACATGCCTGTATTGATGAAAAAATTAACTATACTATAAATAAACTACTGCGTTGCGTAATGCCCTCATTGTTGACGCATACCACAAATTACCAACTAAATTAGCACAATAAAGCATGCAAAAAAACAGTTAGTCTATCTAGATTCGCATCATTGGTTAAGACTACATCGTATACTTCTAAGTACGCATTCAAAGATTCTTCAGCCTAAAAAAACAACAAATATTTAATTAACTACTCGAAAAGCACCTCTAAATATTGTAAAATCAAAAGCTAAAGCTATTGAAAGAGATCATCTTTAAACAAAATACTTTTTTTGTGTGCAAAGAAATTTAAACTTAATTACACATTTTGGCATTCGCATTAAATAAAATCTTCAAATTTAGTTGGGCAGCAGTTGCGACGCCTAATTTACAAGTTCGTTGCAAATAGTGTATAAATATTTAGCCTAAAGATTGACGATATATAATATATAACGAATATAATAAGTATATATATAACGGATATACGATATATAATATATAGCGGATATTATAAGAAATCAAGTGACAATAGTAACCTAAGAAAGAATGTTATACGTAATTGAGCTCATTACGTTTTTGCTACTGAAATTACAACCAGATATAAATAATAACGGATTTTTCTAAATAAAACTCCTTATTTTGCAACCCATTGAAGTCTCATAAAGTTACAATAAACCAAAAAATAATCATTTCTTTTATTTTAATTTTAATTCATAGCATCACTGATACCTAGCAACTGAATAAGATTGCAAACTCATTACCATTTTACCTTTTATATATATTTTTTGTGCGCTTTAATTTTGCTTAGCTTGATTAGCTCAGGTTGTTCGAGCAGATTGTTTGTTTTAAACTTTAATGGTTTTCATTTAATAATTAGATGGCTTCAATTTGTTTTATAAAAATACACGCCGTTTACGTGACTTTTAAATGCGTGAAAGAAAAATATTTTGTTACCGGTTGTCTTATGGATTTGTTAATGATAATTAAACACATAAAAACGTGTTTAAACATGCAAAAGTCATTAACTTATTTATTCTTAAACTATGACACATTTTTTAGTCTATAGATATCCGAATTTAATCATGACAAAGTTTTAAACACCATGCAAACGAAGTTATTTAATGATTTTTAATAAAAAGAAAAGACAATATCAATATTATCTAAACTTGTTGAATAAGTTTACATTATTAATGTTATAAGTAATATATACAAATATATAATAAATATTAAAATATAATCCACACGAGTACACACGTAATCAATATCGGTCATGAAAAATGGCCTATGGCTGATCGTTTTTGCCGGACAAATTACACGTGTCAGAAAAGTTAAATGTGCCGGACAAATTACATGTGTCGACATTACATGTGTCGGAAAATATATGATGTCCAGTGCTTATTTTGAACTCGGCACTAAACATACTAATTGGCTAAATAATTTTATTTTAAAAAGTTGAATGTTAAATAAAAAAAATTATTAAGGGAGTCTTTTTAAAACCTTTTTGTTAACTGAAACTCCCAGTATTGTACTGAACTGAAAAAAAACTTGAAAAGACATCAAAAACATTACATTACATGATACAACAAAAATAGTTACCTTTTCATTTAGGAAACCAATTTTTAAAATGTTCTCACTGGGAAAAATTCCGTCAGCCATTGAAGGATCACCCAATGTATCTCCCATTACTATTAAATTAGTACGATCCTTAATTGAATATTTTGATTCAAAATCAGATAATAAAAATATACAACTTTAACCATTAAAAAAATAAAGAAGAGAAATTACAGACATTTTATCAATTATACCTTATGTTTCTCAAAATAATCTGTTTTATGTTTTAAATGTTGATTTTTGTTAAAAGAGTGTATCATCTCGTTACCCCTCAAACCAGTAGCCAAACCCTAATTTAATTGATTAAGTATTCTTAATAAAAATACACAAATCTCTAGCATATATGAAATAGGAGAGCAAAACTATTATTAAAACCTCTTATAAATTACCTCACTATTAAATGTATAAAAATTAGCTGTTATTGAAATGTTTCTAGTCAGTTCCGCCTGTTGGAGCATCACTTCATTAATTATGTCTAAAAACAACGCCATATAATGGTGAATATACATACATACGTGTATATATATATATATATATATATATATATATATATATATATATATATATATATATATATATATATATATATATATATATATACATATATATATATATATAAACACACACATATATATATAAATATATATATATATATATATATAAATATATATATATATATAAATATATATATATATATAAATATATATGTATATATAAATATATATGTATATATAAATATATATATATATATATATATATACACGTATGTATAAATATATATACATATAAATAAATATATATATATATATAAATATATATATATATATATACACGTATGTATAAATATATATACATATAAATAAATATATATATATATATATATAAATGTATAAATATATATATATATACACGTATGTATAAATATATATATATATATATATATTTATACATACGTGTATATATAAATATATATATATATATATATATATATATATATATATATATATATATATATATATATATATATATATATATATATATATATATATATATATATATAATGATCACCTCAGTTTTTCCACATATTTTGTCTTTAAAGTTATTTTAAAGGGTGAGCATATTATTATTATTAACTTATTATACAAAACTGACATCTATCGAATAAAATAGGAAAGAAAATTTCTTTATAATCATGACCAATGTTAAGTTAGGTGTGTTTTAAGTCAGTAATGTGAATTTTTCTCAATTTAAAAAAAATGTGGTTGATCTGTCACATACATTTTTTTATACTTTAACAGTTTTTTTTTGAGTGAAAAGTGTTTTATTATTTTTAATACATTTTATAAAGTTACTATAAACAGCAAGAATTAATATATAGTACCATTTTATTAACAGCTTTAGTGTAATAGGTTGTAATTGAAAATTTCAATAAAAAATAAACATGGGTAAGGGTAAAGACATAAGTCCAAGCAAAATTTCAGAAGTAAAATCAATTTTACAACATCCAGGGTGTTCACTGCTAAAATGTGTAAAGTTTTGCAACCTTTTGTCAATAAAATCAAACACAAAATGGGAAACGACATCACTCTTTCTCCAAAAAGGAAAAGACGGAGTGGGTCAAAACGTAAAACCACTCCCAGGACAGACAGAATTATAAGAGATATATGTCTGGAAAATAGAAAAAAATCATCCTCTTGCTGTCAAAACTTGTTCTGGAATACAAGTTTCGGAGCACACAGTGAGGAGACGTCTGGCTGAAGTTGGTTTAACACCACACAAACCAGCTAAAAAACTAAGGCTAACTCCCAGAACGGCTCTTGCCAATAGTATGATACAATATGACGTTTTAATGCTTATTATATATTCTAGTAATAAAACTCAACAAGTTTACAGTGAAAAGATTATAAATTAAGATGACATCATACAAAATGGCTGTCAGAAGTGACATTGTCAGTAGCTTAAAAAAACGCTGATTTTATGAGTTAAAACTTTATTTTAAACAAAATATTAACTTATGATAACAATAATGAATTTATATATATGTATATATATATATATATATATATATATATATATATATATATATATATATATATATATATATATATTTAATTATCTTTGCTTCCAACAAGGCTGCAAGCAACCACTAATTAGTGTTAAAAGTTACTGGAAGAGAAAAGATGAAGATTGTAGAGCAAGATAACGATTGACAGACGACTTAAAAGATTACAAATTATATGAATCAGGAAAGCAAAATGAAGGAAGCGAATTCCAAAAAACTGATGTTCGAGGAAAAAAACGGAATATATATATATATATATATATATATATATATATATATATATATATATATATATATATCAGAAAAAGGATGAGACTTATTTAATGACGAGTAACACGAGAATGAAATTTAGATGGCACAAGAGACGCTAGCTCTTTCGAGCAGTGCCCATAATAGTACTTGTAGAAAAGAGAAAGAGAAACAACATTACGACGATGTGACAGAGGTTGAAGTTTGGCTGCAAGAGCAGGTCCAACTATGTTTACAATGCGTTTTTGCACCTTGTATAAAAGAGAAAAGGCATCATTAGAAGATCCGCCCCAGATATGGCAACAGTATTTCATACAAGGCCAGATTTGAGATTTATAGAGATAGAGAATAGAATCCAGAGTAAGAAAGTGACGAGCTCGATAAAGAGAAGCAACTTTAGCAGATGCTAATTTTGCAATGGATTTGATATAAGTTTTCCAAGAAAGATCAGAAGTACGAGTTAATCCTAGAAGATGAAGGGTAGGAGACTCATCAAGTACATTACCGTTCATAAATATAGGAAGGTCTAAATATATATATATATATATATATATATATATATATATATATATATATATATATATATATATATATATATATTTATTTATATATATATAAATTCATTATTGTTATCATAAGTTAATATTTCATTTAAAATAAAGTTTTAACTCATAAAATCAGCGTTTTTTTAAGCTACTGACAATGTTACTTTTAACAGCCATTTTGTAATAATCTTTTCACTATAAACTTTTTGAGTTTTATTACTAGAGTTTTGAATTTGTTTATTAGGTTATCTTCAAAATATTTAAATCAGTAAAAATATTTCTTTTTATTTTAAAGTAAAAATAGTTGTATTTGATGTGATATTTTTAAAATTATGAGTACCAAAACAAATTTTTAACTGTAGTACTGAAATGTAATATTTTATTTTAGTTATAGGGAAAAAAAAAGGACTTGTCACCACTAAAAATTATCAAAATCAGGGCACTTTAAATAAATACTAATCTTTCTCAACAAGAAACTGCTAGAAAATATGGTATTTTGCGGCTTTCTGTACAAAATATACACACAAAAAATGGCTAATATGAAGAACTTGACACCAAAGAGGGTTGGTAAATGTGGAAAGAAGGGAGTCCTAACACCACACGGGGAAAGAATACTAACAAAGATTGTTCTAGAAAATAGACAGGCCACCGACAATAAAACAATTAAAAAGTTGGACCAATCTGGAGTCAAAAATTTAAAATAGTTTTTTAAATTTAAGATACGCTACTTTAATTGGTAGCGGGTTGTTAAAGTGAAAAGAAAATTTAAAGCAAGTTTTTTTTTAATCCTTTTATTTTTCCATACTGCCTGGTTTTTATCCTTGCTTTATAAATGTTTTAATAAATTTATTTTTTGTAAATATAATTCAATAACTAAATAAAAACTTAATAATAATTTATATTAATAATTCAATAATTAAAGATTAATAATTAATTAATAATTTTATATTAATTATTCTGATAATTATAATATATCAGTGGTGTACACTGGATTTTTAGATGTTTGAGTTTTGACACTTACACACATTTTACCAACTCCAAACTTTTGTATGTTCATACTTATGTCAAATGAGAATGTTTTGCAAAAAGTTGTGGTGATTGGAGCTTGGGGACAAAAAAACCCCAATTTTCCGGCCCACCCAGCCCTTAAGGTGGGAGCAACAAGTTGATAAAATAATTTCTTTAGTATTTTTATCTAAGTTTATATTCATCAACAAATTTCAAATTTCATGCAATAACCTCTTAGTTTTTAGTTTTTATGACCCTACAAAGTTTACAGCCCCCTCAAATTGAGGGGGGTTTAAACTTCATATGGTCATAATTTTCGAAAAATAAAAAATTATTGGATATTTGACATTTGTTGATGAATATAAACTTACATAAAAATACTAAAAAAACTATTTTATCAACTTGTTGCTTCGACGTTAAGGGCTGGGTGGGCCCGAAAATTGGGTTTTTTTTTGTCCCCAAGCTTTAATCACCACAACTCTTTGCAAAACATTCTCATTTGACATAAGCATGAACATACAAAAGCTTAGAGTTTGCACAATACCTGTAAGTGTCAAAACTCAAACATTTAAAAGTCCAGTGTACACCACTGTATATTCATGTATATATTAAATTTATTGTTGTTAAAACTTTTATTAAATGATTATTGCATATTAATAGAAACCAGTAGTTTTTCTGCTTTAACAACTCTAAACTCATTAACTCACTTTATTGACTTGTAATCAGGTCAAAATAGAAAAAAAAATAGTGGTAGATTTGCAATAATTTGAATAGAGCTGAAAATTAGTACAAACCTTGAGCACATTATTACAAATAAAGTATTAAAAGTCCTCATCGATCCCATATCTGCAAAAAAAGTTATTCAAGGTCAAAGGTATAAAAAAAAAAAATTGCTTTTTTTTTAAAAAAAAAAGGAAATGTTTTAGCATAAAAATAGATCAAACAAATGCGAAGTGCATTTAAACGCATTTTTGAATAAACTGTTTCAGCGGCTTTTCTTTGATCTTGTATAAGAACAATAAAAAATGCTTTTTTCAAATAATTTTTTTAACTGATTTTTCTCGTCTGACTTCCCAAAATTCTTGGAACAAAGTTATGAACAATGAAACATTTTTAGTGTTGAACATTCTATTACAGTAAATAATATTGAGTAGTATTTTTTATTATGATTGGAACCGTTTAATACTTTCATTAAAATGTTGCAACTATGTTTTATTTGTAGTAAACATTTAACAGCAAGTGAAACTGTTGTTGTTGATCGTGGAATGAAGACTTTAATTGATACGAGTGTTAAAAGAAGTGACGGTTTTTATGAATACCTGAATGATCTGAAGTCTGCGACGATTTATGTGGTGTGCCGTAAAAAGTATACTGGGGTGAGTACTATTGCTGCATTTAAAAGACAGCAATATATAGATCAAGTCAGCACATCTGAAAATAGTCCACCTTGTACCAGAGCGTGTTTAAGTGAATCACTTTTTTGTTTAAAAAAATGTTGGTTATTTTGCGGTGATGAAGTGAACGAGGAGGCCGAGAAGAAAGCGATGAAAGTTCTGCGTAAAATTCATAAAGTTGCTAATCTTGAATTTAAAGAATCAATTCTGAAGTTAG